GACTTTTCTACATCGAGGAGGCTTATTCCTAGGGGGCGCTTCCTCGCGCAAACATCACTGAACAGCTTAAGATCATCAGTGGGACAGAGAACAGTTCGGACGTGTGGGATGGGACCGGAATTTTAGGACGGGTGTGGAGAAGGCCCAAAATAGAGGAGGGTCCGGGAATGAGTCATCAAATTGTTGAGAAAATGTATAGGCAGTGCAAAAGGATGAATTAATGTTAGAGAATGAAACAGAAAAAGCGAGAGAGTTAGAGAGAGGGCGAGAGAGAGCGACGGAGTGAGAGATGGACAGGATTCAAGCGACAGACACCAATTTCGAAAAAAGCAACGATGATGTCAAAAAAAAATTCCGGAAAATCACGATTTCGCGTTGTGGTTTTCATGTTCCGTTTCGAAGAAAACATGAATTTGCTAGATTTAGGGTAACTTTAGTCCAGAAAACTCAATGTCCACATCATCCCACATTGTCCGATTTTCAAAATCCAAAGCTTTTAGCGCCAATCTGATCGGCGATGGTTCAATCCAAAATTTCCTAACCAAAGAACCGGCCGGGAATAGGGATGATTTGTCTTTGACAGATCGCATCTACATGTTGGTCGTTCTTTGAGTGCCCGGCGGGCCGATCTCCGAATACGAAAGGGCAAAGTGCTCTGCCAGACACCTTTAAAGACACACGGTTGATTCATGGGAACCTGCGAGGTGGTGGGGATGGAACATTAAAGGTGCGACGATGGCCTGGATGGACCATCGGAGCTGCAGTTTTTATGGGCGGCTACGTGCGAAAGTACTATTCGATTGGCATATGTACGCCAGAAAGCAGTTTTTGCTTGCAAGGCGCGAACGCGAGAATTTGAAACTTTGAGAAAAAGGGCCTGGAAGGTGTAAACTTACTTTAGCTCAAACTTTTACGAGATCGTTACGGCGGTGGTAGTGAATTCAGATGAACGTGTACGGTTGCGTCTTACCGTAGCTATTTGAGAAAGAAACGGAGAGATCGAGGGAAGAGCTAGAAAGAGGGGAGGGAGTGAGCTAGAGAGTGAGCGTCAGAGTGAGTTTGAGAGCGAGAGAAATCAATGGAAAGTGAGAGAAAAATAGGCAGAGAGATACATACCAAGTGGCTGAAGAAAGAAAGAAGGAGAGAGCGAGAGATCAGAGAGAGAGGAGAGGGAGAAACGACAAACCAAAGCGGCAGAGAAATACCTAGGATTCATTTCGTTTTGAACGTTCTTTCTTCTGTGACGTAATAAGCAAATTTTTAGTTTTTCGAAAAACACCCCTTTACTAATTAAGCAATAATGAAATTTCAAGCATTGCGTAGTTGAAAGTAGTGCAAAAAAACAGCCAAAACTGCAGAGCATCTTTCATTGCAAGTTTTTCCAAGCTAGAGCAATAACAAAATACTTACCGCATGTATATTAGCAAAAACAAGTAATTTCTACCCAAACAGCTGCCAAAATTACTAATCTGACGATGAAAGGCAAATACATCACCACCAACAAAGAAACTGGGACCAAGAGATCAACTCTTCTTTCTTTCGTGTTGTAATATCCGCTCCAAGAATGGCTCGCACCTGTGCGTGTGGTGGGCCCTTTCTTGGGCCCTTTTTCTCATTTTTCGACGCCTTCCGGCCAAACACTGAAAAGATCAAACAGTGGGAACGCTGAGGGGGTGAAGCTCGCATTTTTCAGCCCTCAGGCTTAATTATGGCGTTCCCGGAAATAAGGAAACGCTGCCAGGAGATTTATGAGTAACGTAGAGAATCCGGTTAGCATCGAGCATTGTGTGGAAAAATCGAGGCTGGGGATGCAAAACCGGAGTATCTCAAACTGAGAAAATACGATAGACTTAGGCTTAGGCTTTGCGTAGGCTCAGGCTTAGGCTTAAGCTTACAGCCTGTTAAACTTAGACATATGCTTCAGCTTTCGGGACGTAGGGCAAGAACAAACTGAAAATTCGATGAAGCATGCCTAATTTTGAATTTCTACACCCATTCTGAAAAATAGCGCACCAATATGGGGCTACGGACCCGGAAAAGCGTGAGGAATTTGAAAATTGAAATTGAAAATGATGAGGCTCGGGCAAATTGTGAATTGCTTTCTCCATTTTCTTCGTCTTCTTAGATGGTAGAAAAAAGCTTCATTTTTAACCAGATTTCCGAAGTTCTGGTTTTTGGATTTTTATCTTTTGTCAGCTGTGTAGAAACCATGTGCTAAACTCTGCAAATAATTACTCTCCAAGAACTACAACCTCTTCTGCAGCTCTCCGGACAAAACTCCGCTAATATTCAGTATTTAGCAGATTTCAACAGCCGAGGGGCGTGATTGTTTGGAGGTTGTGTATGCAGCAGTAGGCGTAAAACCCATTTGCGGGCAACGGTACGCGTCGGTCAGCTCACCAGAGATCTGAAGAACCGCTGCTCAGAAGTCAGAAGTTGATAGAAGTCCTGAATTCCAGAAGCAATGGCGGAGCTGGATGGAGCGGTTAGTTTGATTTGCATATATGGATTCATCAAGATTGATTTTCGCGCCTTAATGATACCTTCAGAAGCCAGATTGAATAGATCGAACGTTCTAATGAACGTTTCTAATTTTAAATTCGAGGAATTTTCATCGGAATCTCTGTTTCTCTTTCTCGCTCTTTCACGCTCGCTCTCTCTGTTTCCCTACTCTTGCTTTCTCTCTCTTTTGTTCTTTCTCCCTTGCTCACTCTCTCTCTCTCTCGCTCTCTCTAACTCTTTCTCTCTCTCCTTTCCAAAATTTACAAAAAAAGCCCCACGTTTCTTCAGTTGTTTTCCAAGAATAAATCTACACTCCCCAGGTTTTGCAACACCACATTTCACTTAACGGTGTCACCGGCTGGGCGCAGTGAAATTAGTTGGAGGCCGTCGTCAAATCCACTAAATCTGTATGTGAGGCTGTGTTTGTTACGGGAATGGCCCTGCCGCAGCCGAAAATATATTTTCCGCTGAGTTCCGATGAGGTTTTTCCGGGAACCTCGAGTTTTGTTATTTTTAAGCTATGCTTTTGCCTTGTTTTAAGTTCGATTCCAAAATCGGGTGCTTTTCGTGCCACAATAGGCTTTTCTACGGAAATTCTTGCTGTCTGTAAGTGAAAGAGGTAGCAGGCACGCTAGCAAAAATATAAGGTAAAGGGGCAACTAGCAACGATAATTTGTGGGAAAGGAGCGCCAGAAGAGGTTTTTTTGAGAAGAACAAAGCCAGGTATTTTCTGCAAACCGCAGACCAAGTTCAGGTACCACCCAAGGTTTACAACCTCGTAAAGCCAAAACAACCAATTCTGGGACTTACTCTTCTGGTTCTTTGTAGACCCTCTGGTCCCTGATTTTGTCTCTGATTTCCTTGTGGAAGTTTTCTGATTAAAAGCTAATTCCTCCGTTTGCTATGGATTACGGAACTTAATAAAATTTACTCGGCGGGGCTGCAATTCCGGCTAAGATGGCCGGGGTGGACGTCAATACTTGCGAGATCGACTTCCGCTATTTATGAAGTTTTGGGGGCCCAATTGCAGTTTGTGATACTTCTCTTAACTGGGTTAGGGTCTATTAATGCGCAAGAATTCCGCGTCTAGGTTTTTCTGCGTCACGCGGGTTCATAGAAAAGCTTACGAGCTTCCGGAAACGTCGTGAAAACAGCTTTCAGATCAATTGGATTCTGGCCAATTAGACCTTGTGATATCAATACCGTTATTAAGTAATATTAATTTGCTTACGCTGTCCATTCACTGTTTAGAGAATTTTCTAGATCTGAATTAGTAGCCTCCCGATGCCTTAAAGACCCTCTGGTCCCTGAATCGTAGGTTTTCTAAACAAATAAACAAACAAAACCGATGGCCCCGAGGATTTTCCAAACTTTTACGCTATGAAATTCTATCTTTTGAAAAGTCAAACCATACCTTTCAGTTAATGGAAGGCGATGATCAACTCGCCATCCGCTTCATCCTATACACAATCATCGGAGTGGCCGTCATATTTTTCAACATCCTCTCCCTGGTTGTCTTTTTTGCACACAGAGATGCTTCCCGCTTCACGTTATACCAATTTTTATGTTTAGCAGAACTTGTAAGCCGTTATTTTCCATTTCCAAGAACCAATCGTTAAACCCAGATGAACGGCTTCAACTTCGCGATCACGGGTTGTTTCCGATATCTCGTGCTCTCGGCTGAGGAAATCCGGTTGCCAATGACATCTACAGATTGTCTATTTACGACCCCATGGCTGATTATAATGCTTATTGGAGGTGGGATTTCACATGCTTTTGGTTCGTTTTGCATGACGTAACGGGAAGTTCAACGTCAACTAGAAAGAGAGAGTGAGAGAGCGAGAGAGAGAGAGCCAATGAGGGAGAAAGATATAGTCAGTGAGAGAGCGAGAGAGAAAGAGAGAGAGAGAGAGAGAGAGAGAGAGAGAGAGAAGGAGAGATAGTGAAGGCGTGCGCTTTCGTTCAACCCACGTGCCTTCAAAACGCTTTTGGAACCTTTTCCGACGTGCATCATCATTAATTCATTAGTTTTTGGAACCAAAAAGCCGTTGTGGCTCAAAAATGGAAGTGCAAGAATCGTTTGGAAGGAAGAACTAGACGTAGAAGAGCGCCAAAAACTGCTAAAAATTAAATAGGCAATGGAAAATGCTTTGTTTTTACAGAAACCTACCCTTCCGCGATGACACTTGTAATCTCGTTAGAGAGATTATTTGCCGTTACGTGTATGGCCAAATTTCGGGTGTGGAAAAATAGTCACAAGTTGATTATGGTGGTGCTGGCGACACTTTTTCCATTGGTAGGTCGGGATTGGATTTGGGTCGGGATTGGACTTAGGCTTGGGCTTGGGTTTGTGCCTGTGCTTAAAAGGAATCGCGTTTAGGTGCTTTTGGAGTTTCGGGACCGGACCTAGCTAGTTGGATCGGGAAAACTTAGACTTAGGCGTAAGCGTGGGCTTACTCTTGGGCCTCCTCCTTTTACGTCACCACACATTTCAGCTGATGCTCACCTCAGCAGTCATTTTGGTGCTCGTTGTCCCGCAGCTAAATGCCAATCGTATGTGCGGGACCACTAGCGCGTAAGGATACTGTAGGATACGTATCACTAGTTGCATTTAGAATCAACAAGTACTACGGACTAGTACAAAACACGATGTCGGTTGCGTTGTACTTCTTAGGCTTTGCCGTGTCTTTATACGTCAACAATACGATACCTTCAAAACGGGTAGGTAATCTTTGATGACTTGCCTCTACGCAGTAAAGGTTTTGGTTAAAGGTTTTTAAATATCTATTAATTATAGTCCTGCACTCGCCAGGAAATCCGGCAACTCAAGACGATGATTGCCATCTCGTCACTATCGCTGTGTTTCGTCGCCCTTCCGAATTGTTTGCTGATAGAGAACAGCTGGGGCCCAATTCAATTTTCCGACCTGGTCCAGGGTGAGTTGAACGGAAATTAGATTTGTACATTACATGGCATCACAATCCTTTGAGGCTATAATTTTATCAATCGGGATAAAAAGTTCATTCTGGTCAAATCTCAGCTTAAAAGGCGTTCTTTGAATTGCAGCGCCTTTTGAAAGGGACTGTGAAGGCTAGACCATGGTTTCGAAAAGTCAATTTTCTACCTTGTCAGCCTATGGCGAGCCTTATGAGTATGCAGACTCTTTTTCAAGGGACACGCAGTGTTGGAAAACGAACTTTAAATGAGAGGAATAATATTAGAGTCGTTAACTATCAAAATTATTGTAAATTAACGCTTAGGTATCGCCTATTCCCTTTACGGCATCCAATCCGGCCTATATTTCTTTGTATTCCTCTTCTTCCGGCCCGAGTTCCGTGCCAGCGCCAGACGAATATTAATGATTCAAACAGCTACAACAGACACGAGTGCTCCAGCGACGAATGTTAATGGCGGAAAACCATCTATCAAGGTTGGAAGCTTCTTGATACCTTATAAAGAGTTATTGCTTCAGGCTGTCATGCCCGTAATAATGTCATCAAGAAGACGGGTATCGCAAATTCCGGAATCTGTGCGACATTCCGTTTGTCATTCTTCCTCCGAAAAAGAGAGGAGGTCACATTAGTGTGCATTTGATAAAGATTTATTGAATTTTGCTCGAATCTGACGCCGAAAATTCCTGTATTTCTCTCTCTCTCTCTCTCTCTCTCTCTCTCTCTCTCTCTCTCGCTCGCTCGCTCGCTCTTTCTTTCTTTCTCTCCCTGTGACGAAGGCAGCACAAGGTCCATGTTGCCCTATTTTTTTAAAGATGAAGCAGCTTTCAACAGCTAGCCTGAATGACACTAATTAGCAAAGAAAACAATTTCTAGCAAAGGATTGAAAAACGAAAACAACAGATATCCGCAGCTAAAAGCCGGACTTCCATGATAATTGTCCAGAATTTGGTTGAAGCCAAGGCCATCTCCCCCTTACGTACTGATCCTTGCAACGATTACGTCTTACTCTCCCTTTTTTTCTCCCTCTCTCTTCCTCTGACGCCTATCCAAAAGTTTACGACTCATTTTCGAATCGGAAGTCCGGGGCTGCGGCCAAACAAAGGGAGATTCCGATTAGGTCAGCTGATTAGTCAGGCTTCTAGGCGTAATGTTTAAGGAAACACAATTCGGATTTATTACTTTTTATTTGCACAATTTGGTTAAAGCTGAACTTCGCTTTAAAGGACGTGACATTTCCATGCCCCCCCCCCCCGAGCCATTCAAGCTTTTTTGTAGACGCCTAGGTTTCGAGGAACGCCTCCCGCCGCCTTGCAACATTTCAAGGGTACTTCCGGGGAAATTTTGCTGCCTGTGGGAAAACCTTTGAGGCTGGAGGAGTTTGGGGGGTTTTGTAAATAGCGGTCTGGTGCTTTTTGGGTTGCAAGTTTTTTCGATAGTTTCAAATATAAGTTTTTTTTTGTATAGCCGCGTCCACTTTTGCCTCTACAAGCGCTGAGAAACGCGACAGAACGCCGAGAAATTTGTATTTAAATTGAAAGCGGGCCGCCTAACTTTAAATTAGTGGTTTTAAAGGTTCAGGTACCTGAAGCATAATTTTTTAGCCACTGGGACGATAGCTCTCAACTAGGAAAAGCCACTCGAAGTTTGCATATGTTTTCTTTTGCGCTAAAAATGGCATACTTAAGGCACTTGACTTTATTTAACGTGAGAAGCTTCAAACACTTCGTCTCGAAACCGAGAAACATGCAAATGATCGCCACCAACAATCAAGCGGTTGATCCGCCCGAGGAATGCGAAGGCCCACAAGGCTGACCCCTATGCGGATTACACCCCAACGCGTGAAAGAGGTTGAGTCTTTGTGTGTGTGAGTGTGTATGTCTGTGTCTGTGGTTTGACGGGACGATCGGTGTCATTTGGAAAAGATGTGCCCAGATCCGGGCCGCCGGCCGGTGGTCATTCAAAAATCAGGCGGGCCGTTGGATTTTGATTGTTTCCCGGCAGCATTTTAGCCAGTTCTTGCCAAATTTTTGCAAATCTTCATGCTTCTGTCTTCTTGTTTTAAACTATGTAAACTAAAACTATGTCGTTTTTGAAAGTTAAATAATGCTTTAGGAAAAAACCAGGGTTGAAAAACCGCTTCGCGGCTTTTCAACCCTGGCCCCGTCTAGGACCGATGAAAGTCTTCAATTTGCATGCTTCTTCCCTGAAATCTATCAGGAAAAAAAGTGAAAAACGCCTCCTATGTCGCTTTATATAGGCTATCGCACTTCCGGCTTATGCTAATTGATCCCTAACAAAGAGGGTGGGCGAGAATTTTACAAAAATTTGTTTTTAATAGCTAAAATATCAAGTTTTCAAAGATTTTATGTGCGTGCAGTCGATTCCGGACCCTTCTTTACCTAATGACGTTTCTGCCCAATCGAAAAAATTCTTCCCTGAGGCTGTAGGTGCGGAACATCCTCACGGAAGTTGCATGCAAATGCACACACACACACAGACACTATTTTTTTATATATAGTAGGATAGTAGGATTTGATTTTCTTTAACCTCAGGTACAGGTTTTGGCTTAGGCGGAGGCGTAGGCTTAGGCTTAGGCTTAGGCTTAGGCTTAGGCTTAGGCTTAGGCTTAGGCTTAGGCTTAGGCTTAGGCTTAGGCTTAGGCTTAGGCTTAGGCTTAGGCTTAGGTTAGACTAGGCTCAGGGCGTAGGCTTGGCTTAAGGTTAGGCTTGACTTTTGGCTTAGGCTTAAACTTGCATCTGCAAAACTCACTTCTTAAGCGTTTTTTTTACATTTGTTGTTTTTATTTTTTGTACTTCCGGTGTAGCGTCATCCTTGCCTCCAATTTTAATGTATTTTTCTCTCCGAGAATGCAAACATTGACATCCAGTTTCGTCATACCTACGTAATACAGTCCCCTCTCCAATCCATGATTCACAAAATCCTTGACCCAGCTACCTACGGGAATCCATGACGCGGCCCTCCTCCTCCAGGAATATGCAAAAACCGGCGGCTGTTTCGGCCGGCCGGGGTGCTATGACTCACACCTAGGCACCGGCGGGGTGGTCACTGGAACAATCCCTCACCCACCCTACACCCTTTCTAACGGCCAACACATGCACTCATTTCCTCGTTTTCTGATGCTGTCTCTCACTCACTCGCTCTCTCCAGGCCAGATTCTTTCTTCGCACCCCGGGCGCGCTCTCGAATTTTGAGGATTGTCGTAAGCTGACTCATTACCGTAGCCACAAATAGTGGAGGCCCGCCCTGAACTTTATTGCTTGTCGGCCCGCTCAGGTGGTCATTTTTGAGTGACGGGCCGATGGGTCGTTATTTTTAGGGCTCGCCGGTCTGACGGAAGAATTTTCGAGCTTTTCAGTTGAATTATTCCTTCCGATACGTTTAGCTGTAAGGAGTAGTGTTGCGTAAGGTATGAACTTGTCTCTCTCTGTTCCTTGATCCTCTCTCTCGCTCTGTAGCTCCCTCTCCAGCTCCCGATCCCACGCGCGCCTCTCGCCCTCGCTCTCGCTCATTCTCTCGCGCTCTCTCTCTCTCCCTTTATCTCTCTCTTTCTCCCTCTCTCTCTCTCCCTCTCGCGCTCTTATTCTTTTGCATCCATCTACTCTTCTGAATTTTCCAGTTTCAAGGCCGACTTTTACACGACCAGACAATTTTCGGATCCAATCTGAACCCTATTAAAACCTCACGCGCCTTTCCGGCATCGCCCAAATCCGTGCTTTTCGAAAGAAAAACCAAACCCTTCCGTCTCGGGGCCCGGCTCGTCATTGAGATACGATTCTCTTGAAGACGACGTCCCATGACTAACGACCCCCAGGACGAATTGGGTATTCTGTCGTCGTTGGACTGGCTGGGAGGAAGGATGGTCGCCATCTCGCCCATTTCGACTCGGATATTTGGGCGGCCATGATTGCTATTCTTAGAGATGGGCTGGGTTGCTCCTTTATCTGCGTTTTAAAAAGGCGGTGTGTCAAGGGCGTGTTTCGTAATTTTTGGGCTTCGGCTCAGGTTCAGCTTCGGCTTAGGTTTAAGCTTAGGCTTGATCATGGGCTTTGCTTAGGCTTTCCTTGGGTTTATCCCTAGGCTATATTTACTGCCTGTACTTACTTAGGCATAGGCTCAGACTTAGGCTTAGGCCTGTACTCAGGTTTAGGCTTAGACTTAGGCTTAGGCGTATGTGTGTGCTTAGGCTTGCGCTTAGGCTTGGTTTTATGCTTAGGCTTAGGTGTTAGACTTAGGCTCAGACTCAATTTTGGATTAGGTTTAGGCTTCGACGGAGTCTGATTAGCACGAATTTAATTTGTTCACGGCTTTTCAATTTCTGTTTAGGTGTCGTTTTCCATTCTGTTCTGTGCCTTCCAAAGCTACAGATCCTATCAGGTTTCTGATTTCCCTCCTTTCCTAATCCCAATCCTGCAAAGCTGGCAGAAAAATCCAAGAAACCCTCAAAAACAAAGTTCTTAGGTCCTCTGCCCTTCCGCTGCAGAACCGAATTCATAATCCGGATTGCTTTTTTGTGTGGCGTCGGCCAGTTGCGTCTGCCCACGTAGAGCCTATTCCGCTTTTTTGTTGCATCTCGGAGTGCCGTCTTCCGCCGGCTTCCCCCTGCCCCCGTCCTTATCTTCTCCTACTCCTCCCCTCCCTGTCATATAGGAGGCGTTCGTTGAAATGTTGGTGGCACCTTGAAATGGTCATTTTAAGGGGAAAGCCGAAGACGACACTGCGAAGTGATGTCGTCGGGCTGCACAATTTTGCTGTTGGCGCTCTGCAGCGCGGCGGTGATGGCCATGCATCGGCATAACCATATTCGGGTAAGTCGCTTTTTGAGCTATTATTGCGATTTTTTTGGCTACAGTATTCTCAAAGGCGGAACTGACACTTACTTCCTTAGACTTTACATTTTTGTCTTTTTTCCTCTTATTTTCTTTCTATTTTGCTTCAAGTTTTTTAGTCATTTAGCGCTACGTGGAAGCCTTGTTCGCTT